TCTCATAGTATCCCTTTGGATTATCGTCAGCGGGCAGGCCCACCCACAGAAAACATGTGGTTCGGATTGGTGCGGGGGGGGAGGGAGGGTGGAAGGGGAAGGGAGTGTGGAGGGAGAGGACGGGACTGAGGGAATGCGCACAGCTGGCGATGACGGAGCGAGGTGCAAATGACCTTCGTGGCAATGAAGATGGGGGAGATTGCAGGACTGGTCTTTACTGTACATAAACTAGTGTTACCTTTACGGAAATCACATTAATTACATTGGGGAGAACCCATTTGAGCATCTCTGAACGCAATTGCAACATGAACCACATTAATTACATTGGGGAAACCCCATTTGAGCAACTCTGAACGCAATTGCGACACTTGTATGCCAGGTGTACGCTGGTGTTCCAGACTGTGGTTAGTAACCACTGGTTACATGATGTAACTTACATCCAGACGACAGTACGGCACACCACAGTAATAAGACATAGCCAATAGGGCATACCGTAGTCGCGACGCAATAAAGTCTCCGACAGCCACCCGCTCCCCTCGGGGATCGGGGGGTTCAGTCTCGGTCCAGTGGGTCCCGTCTTGGTCCTTCTGTGTTGACGTCCTAGAGTGCGCAGGAGATTAGCTTCTTTACAGTTTTCATTCTCGTACATTGAAGACAACCACCCACCCATCTCACCACGTCAGGGGATTCAGATCACCTTCACGAGGGGCATAAATTTTGCCAGTAAGCTCGAGATAAGGTACTTGACAAAGTAGCGCACCGCTACTAGAAACAAACTCACAGGTTTGCTCATTCTTACTGACATCCGCAGAAGAGCCGCGAAACACAGACAACCATTATCTGAATGACATAACCGCAACATTCAGTTCAACAAGTCTTGTAATTTTCACTTCAAACTTTATTGGATTGTCATGTACTGTACTCACAGAGAACCAACTCTAAACGACCTAACCGCAACAACCGCTCGGCCCTGTCCACAAACCAGACCCAAAGCCTAGAAGCCTACAGAAGAGCACCCCGAGCTACCAAAGCAGGTGGGGAAGAACGGCTGCGGCTGGGGCGGCGGGGGAGGGGGAGCCGTACGGGGAGGTCCGCGGTTCCTCCTGGGGCGGCGAGGCGCGGGGCGTCCGGGCCGACGTCCGGGTCCAGGGCGGAACGTTCCAGGCTGACGCCCGCCACCAGAGCCAGGTCCGCACTGGCAGTTGCAGTCGCACACGCCGCCCGGCCCCGGGCGCGGGTTGACAGGGCGCGGGTTGATCGGGGCGGGGCGCGGGCGGGGGCGCGGGCGGGGGCGCGGGCGACGACGCGGCGGGCCGCGCGGCGGCTGCGCGGGCGGCGCCGGGGGCGCCGGGGGCGCCGGGATGAACGGGAAGCCGCAGCCGAATCCGCCTCCGAACCCGCTTCCGCTGCCGCTGCAGCTGCTGTTGCGCACGAGCGCGTCCATGTCGACGTCCTCGGCCTCCACGGCCGCCTTGACGGCCGTCTCGGCGCGCACGCTCTCCGGCACGAGCTTGCTGTTCACGTCGAGCGCTTCCTCGCGGCGCTCCTTGCGGGTGAGCGTCCGCGTCGGAGGGATTGCGCGCACCTCCTGCGCGGAGCCGGCGGCTACGAAGACCACGCTGAGGAAGGCCAGAGAGGCCAGCATGAGAATGAAAGAACGCATTGCGGGTGCTTTTGTGGCGGGCTGTGATGCTCGAGGGGCTTCTTGCTGGGTGCTGATGGAGGAGTACTTGAGGGGGACTACTAGCTAGCACGTTTAAGTAGTGGCTCTCCGGGAGCGCTCCGAGTTAGATGGCTCTCCTAGGTGCCACGGTTGAAACGACTGACCTCGCTCCTACATTCCCAAACTGCAACATTTTCGAGATGCAACGTTTGAAACTATCCTCATTCAAAGTCGTCGTATACTTGAATTTGCTTCAAACAGCGAGGCAGCGAGATTGACAAGACCCAGAGCTCGAGCTACAGATCCCAATTTAAAGGTGGTAACCTACCATACCACTTCAGGGCCTGCAGCGTTGAGAGCAAGCATGAGTGGGTGGGGGTCATACTGACATCAATTCAAAAAAGAAAATATATTCTGTAAGGACACAGCTATGATGCGGACCTTCAAGTATCGGTGCAAGTCCTCAACTACGGTTGGTACAGTACTGTACCCTTGGGTACAGTATAGATTTGACAGCCTACCGTGAGAACATGTAAAACGTTTCCAATCGGGTTGAGAATTCTTAGTTGATAGGAAGGTTATCTGACTGAATTGGGGCGAGTTGGAGTGTGTAAGATCAAGTCTTCTTCCTAACGAGGCATGCACAAAAGCACAGGACAGTATCCGCCTCTCACGTGCGACTGGTCACATAGAATATGCACTCAAGATGGATCCTCGAGGTGGCGGCGTCGAACATACTGTAGAGAAAAGACTCTTTTGCGGGACAAAATTTAAAGTTTAGAGCTCGAATCCGGAATGGGATGTGACGATTTGCTGTGGAAGGATGACACAAGTCAATTCAATTTCCCGTTTAAGTGCTTTTCCGGCGTCTACATCGACGATATTTCTACTGTAGCAACATAGTTGCAATGTGTGATAACGCTTGGTCAGATATATACTTGTCTATCCGACGAAGCCTTATCAAAACAACAAATATCCCGCGAATTATATATTTTTTCCACTTTGGTGTTGTCCACGGCTTCTATTTTTCTCTGGGAGGTTGACTCGTTTTATAAAATTCTGTAGTTGGAACCGAATAGAACTACCGGGAGAAAACTAGATTAAAGAAAAATGCGTACTTTAAGTCGACTTCTCTTTTGAACACCTTTATGTGCGTCAACGAATTGGTTTTTGCTAGGTTTGACGAGAATGTGTTTTACTTGTTAGGATGGAGTTGTAGTTCTAAAAAACAGAACTTAAATCATGCTTTGCGTTGTCTAAAAAAATAATACAAACGTTTGTGCCGACATGCGGACTAACGGTCCGATAGACACCTAGAACAAGAGAATTCACTCTCCCCCAGAATACTGCCTACAGTACTAGTTTTACAGAAGAATTGAAAATCAAGGGAGATCATCATTTCAGCACCCCTAATGGAGCTCATGGTGGTAGAAACAGGAAAGGAGTGGAAAGTGTCGGCACGGATCATTGACTCTCGTGCTCTCGTGGGTAGAAAGTGAAGCGGTATCAAGCCAAATATGTGTGAGTCTGTTTCTGTAGGTGGTTTCTTGTTTGGCGAATGAGAGATGACAGCCAGTAACGGGACGTTTTCCAAGTTACCCCGGTAAGTACAGTCAGTTCAAGAGTACCCTTGGGTACAGTATTTGCACGTAGGATGCCGTGGTCAGGTTTCTAACACTAAATTCAATCATTTTTCATATCTCAATTCAACTGGGCGTCATGTATCACGAAAGATCCCTTTTTCGGAGGGTGCTGATGAATTCGACTTCTGTCCGAAAAAAGAGCTTGTTCACAAACTTTACCATTCATGAATGTGTTCATGTGAACACCATGTGAACACATTTTTCACATGAAACTTTACCATTCATAAATGTGTGAATTCATGTGAACACCATGTGAACACATTTAGGAATGGTAAAGTTATCTTATATGTTGGTGCAAGGGTTTCTACAACCTACTCTACTGTAAAGGCCTGTTTACTATCGTTACCATGCCTCCGACTCCCAAGACGACACTGTGAGTGGCTTCTCTTGCATTAGATTTGAGATCGCTTGAAATGTTTTCACAGTTACCGTAGAGTCCAATATGCAAGCTTGTCTGTGAACGAAAGTGTAAGAAATGTATGTGCTTTTCTACTTCGTCTATGCACATGCAACGTGAAATGCGCGACACCTATTCCGCACATAGGCAAAGGTTCGCGCCCCACCACTGGAATCAAACTTGCAGGAGCCGGAAAACAAGTCTTGTATTTTTCACGTCACAAAGTTTATTGAATTGTCATCTACTCACAGAAAAGCGCCTCTAAGAGACCTAACCGCAGCAACCGCTCGGCCCTGCCCACAAACCAAACCCGAAGCCTAATCGCTTGAAGAGCAGCCAGAGCTACCACCGCAGTTGCGGAACGGCTTCGGCTGGGGCGGCGGGGGAGGGGGAGCCGTGCGGGCAGGCCCGCGAGTCCTCCTGGGGCGGCGAGGCGCGGGGCGCCCGGGGCGACGTCCGGGTCCAGGGCGGAACGTTCCAGGTCGACGCCCGCCACCAGAGCCAGGTCCGCACTGGCAGTTGCAATCGCACACGCCACCCGGACCCGGGCGCGGGTTGACAGGACGCGGGTTCACTGGACGCGGATTGATCGGGCGAGGGCGGGGGCGGGGGCGAGGGCGGGGGCGGACACGCGGCGGCTGCGTGGGGGGTGTCGGGGGCGCCGGGATGAACGGGAAGCCGCAACCGCTTCCGCTTCCGCTTCCGCTGCAGCTGCTGTCGCGAACGAGCGCGTCCATGTCGACGTCCTCGGCCTCCACGGCGGCCTTGACTGCTGTCTCGGCCCTCACGCTCTCCGGCACGAGCTTGCTGTTCGCATCAAGTGCCTCCTCGCGGCGCTCCTTCCGCGTGAGCGTCCGCGTCGGAGGGATCGCACGCACCTCCTGCGCGGAGCCGGCCGCCACGAAGACCACACTGAGGAAGGCCAGAGAGGCCAACATGAGAATGAAAGAACGCATTGCAGGTTGTTTCTGTGGCGGGCTGTGATGCTCAAGTTGCTTGCTGCAGTGAGCTGATGAAGAGTTGCGTGAAAAAGACTACTGGCGCGTTTAAATAGTGGCTCTCCGGGAGCGCTCCGAGTCAGACGGCTCTCCTAGGTGCCACGGTTGAGACAACTGACCTCACTCCTACGTTCCCAAACAGCAACATTTTCGAGATGCGACGTTTGAAACTACCCTCATTCAAAGACGT